CAAAAGTCCTCCCTCTTAATTAGTTTCTTTAGGTGTACAGATTTTAGTAGGTTTATCCTATATTATATGTCTATATGAGTGAGTATATACTGTGTGTATCTTTCTGCTTCTGGGATAGCTCATTCAGGATGATCTTTTCCAGATCCCACCATTTACCTGCAAATTTCATGATTTCCTTGTTTTTTATTGCTGAGTAATATTCCATTGTGTAGCTATACCACAATTTGTGCATCCATTCCTCCACTGAGGGGCATCTGGGCTGTTTCCAGCTTCTGGCTATTACAGATAAGGCTGCTACAAACATGGTTGAGCAAATGTCCTTATTGTGTACTTGAGAATCTTTTGAATATATGCCTAGGAGTGGTATAGCTGGATCTTGAGGAAGCGCTATTCTTAGTTGTCTGAGAAAGTGCCAGATTGCTTTCCATAGTGGTTGTACAAGTTTACATTCCCACCAGCAGTGGAGAAGGATTCCCCTTTCTCCACAACCTCTCCAGCATGTGTTGTCTCTTGAGTTTTTGATCTTAGCCATTCTGATGGGTGTAAGGTGAAATCTTAGGGTCGTTTTGATTTGCATTTCCCTGATGGCTAATGAGGTTGAACATTTCTTTTTATTTGTTGTTGTTATAAAATAAATTTTATTGTATACAATATTTAATACATTACACACACAAATGCAAATTTAAAATCCAGAATTACAGCTTGGTACTTATTTTTTAACTCCACTAAGTCCATTTGTTATGAGACAGTTATTAATTAGACAGCTATAAAGGACATTTATTTGATCAGTATCTAGGTCAATGTTCTGTGATCAGTTTTTTTTCTTTACTAATTACACTTTACTCACTTTGTATCCCCCCCTTGGTTCCCTCCCTCCTCCCGTCCCAATCCCTCCCTTCCTCTACCCTCTGTATGCATGCCCCTCCCCAAGTCCACTGATAGGGGGGGACTTCTTTTCCTTCCTTCTGATCCTAGTCAATTAGGTCTCATCAGGAGTGGCTGCCTTGTCCTCTTCGGTGGCCTGGTAATGCTTCTTCCCCCTCAGGGGAGGTAATGTTTCTCTGCCATTTGATATTCCTCTGCAGAGAATTCTCTGTTTAGCTCTGTGCCCCATTTTTTAATTGGTTTACTTGGTTTTTTGCTGTTTAACTTCTTTAGTTCTTTATATATACTGGATATTAGCCCTCTGTCAGATATAGGGTTGGTGAAGATCTTTTCCCAATCTGTAGGCTGTTGTTTTGTTCTGAGGACAGTGTACTTTGCTTTACAGAAGCTTTTCAGATTCATGAAGTCCCATTTATTGATTGTTGCTCTTAGAGCCTGTGCTGTTGGTGTTCTGTTCAGGAAGTTGTCTCCTGTGCCAATGAGTTCAAGGCTCTTCCCCACTTTTTCTTCTAAGCGGTTTAGTGTGTCTGGTTTTATGCTGAGGTCTTTGATCCACTTGGACTTTAGTTTTGTGCAGGGTGATAAGTATGGATCTATTTTCATTTTTCTACATGTAGACTTCCAGTTAGACCAGCACCATTTTTTGAAGATGCTGTCTTTTTTCCATTGAATGGATTTGGCATCATTGTCTAAATTCAGGTGTCCATACGTGTGTGGATTTATGTCAGGGTCTTCTATTCGATTCCAATATCCACCAGTCTGTTTCTATGCCAATACCATGTAGTTTTTAGTATTGTTGGTCTATAGTACAGCTTGAGATCAGAGATGGAGATACCTCCTGAAGATCTTTTACTGTAGAGAATTGTTTTAGCAATTCTGGGTTTCTTGTTCCATATGAAGGTGAGAATTTTTCTTTCAAGGTTTGTAAAGAATTGTGTTGGTAATTTAATGGAAATTGCATTGAATTTGTAGATTGCTTTTGGTAAGATGGTCATTTTTACTATATTAATCTTGCCAAGCCATGAGCATGGGAGATCTTTCTATCTTCTGATATTTTCTTCTAATTCTTTCTTCAGAGACTGGAAATTTTTTTCATACAAGTCTTTGACTTGCTTGGTTAGGTTCACAGCAAGGTACTTTATGTCCTTTGTGGCTATTGTGAAGGGTGTTGTTTCCCTAATTTCTTTCTCAGCCCTTTTGTTTTTTGTATACAGGAAGGCTACTGATTTTTTTTAGTTATTTTTGTATCCAGCCACTTTGCTGAAGGTGTTAATCAGCTGTAGGAGTTCCCTGGTAGAGTTTTTGGGGTCACTCAGGTATACTATCATATCATCTGCAAACAGTGATACTTTGACTTCTTCCTTTCCAATTTGTATCCCCTTGATCTCCTTCAATTGTCTTATTGATCTAGCTAGGACTTCAAGATCAACGTTGAAAAGATATGGAGAGAGTGGACAGCCTTGCCTTGTCCCTGATTTCAGTGGGAATGATTTAAGTTTCTCTCCATTGAGTTTGATGTTGGCTATAGGCTTGCTGTATATCGCCTTTACTATGTTCAGGTATGTTCCTTGTATTCTTGATCTCTCCAATACTTCAAGAAAGGTAGGCCTCTGTGGGATATCAAACAAACTGGCATATTAAGTTGCAATATGAATAGGCACCATCTCTCATATTAAGGCTGGATGAGGCAACCCAGTAGAAGGACAAGGGTCCCAAAATCAAGCATCAGAAATAGCTCCTGCTCTCTCTGTTAGGAGTCCCACAAAACCAACAAACTAGACAACTATAACTTACATGCATAGGGCATAGGTTAGATGCCTGCAAATTCTATTTGAGATGGAAGTCTTAAATTCAGGAAGGTCACTGGGAGCAGAGCATCTCCATCTCAGTTGGAGGTTTTAGTGTTGTGAGTATGAAGGCAGGGGCATTGGTATAGGGTGAGTAGAGTCCAAAACAGTGGAGAGTTTGGTAGGATGGCAGCCTACCTGTATTTCTCCAAGTCTGCTTGATCTCTGGTAGAGTAGGAAATTTTTTATGCTGGTTGAAGGCTAGATTGTTCCCATTTTCTGAGATCTCTAGTAGAGCATGGAGACCAACCAACAAAGGTTGTACTCTGGTAGTACAATGAGTCTCCATCTGGGGTGGGGGCCGGTGAATGGTGCCTGGGAGGGCTGATGGGTTGGGGTAAGGTGAGTAGAAGGTGAGTAGCTAAGTTTTGCAGGCAGACAACCTATCTGGATTTATCCCAGTCTGCTTGGTTTTTAGTAGAGCTAGGAGGCTATGGCTCCTCTTGGAGGCTGAGGCACAGCGAGGGATTGGGAATAGTGTATGGGGACTCTGAGATAGTGAGCAAGTGTGAAAGATTGAGGGTTGGCAGCCTACTAAACTTTTCCCAATCTCTAGAAGATTTGGGAATCTCTGCCTTATGCTGTTCTGTGGTAGCACAGAGAGTCTCCACCCCATTGGAATCTGGGTTATGACAACTAGGAGAATGGAGTACTGGGTTCTGGGTGGACAGAGACTGAGATTAGAGGAGTTTGGTGTTCAGGTAGCCTACCTGGACTTCTTTCAATCTTCTTGGTCGCTGGTAAAGCAGGGAGGCTGAGGAATAGTAGGAGTGGTGATAGGGTGGGGGGGGGTGTTGAGATAGTGAGAGATTATGGAAGGTCTCTGGGAATATAGCCTACCTTGACTTCTCCCAGTCTACAATATCTCTAATAGAGCTGGCAGTCTTTGGCCTTGTTAACAGGTAGGGCACAGCAAGTAGAAGAACACATGACTCGGGAAGGGTGGAGTGATACTGAGACAGTAAGAGACTGTGTATGTTTCAGGGGAGAACAGCTTATCTGGACTTATTTCCAGTCTGCAAGGTCTCTAATAGAGTGAGGAATCTCTGTACCAACGTATAAATATTTCCAGTCTGCAAGGTCTCTAATAGAGTGAAGAATCTCTGTACCAACCTATAAAATCTTATATTTAATATGACAATGACTTTAAAACAGGGCAGGTCATAGACTTGTAGGGCATACTTTCAAATATCATTTAAAATATTGCTTACATGAGATTTAGACTTTACCAACTCAATTAGAAGTTAAAGATGGATTTTTAAAATGAATTTATTTGAAAGTTAAATGTTGTGTTGCATAGTAAATGCCTCACATATATCTGTTGTTCAGTAAATTTTGCCACCATCCTCACACACTCATATTAGTATAATCTCTGTCTCTTAATCTTCATCACTACCACCACCATCATAATCCAATCATTATCCTGCTTTCCATCATCACTATCACATCCATCATCATGGTCATCATTATCACCATCACAATAGTTATTATAATTTTTGTATTCCTCATTATTCACATCATTATCACCATCATCACCACCATCATTATTATTACCATCAACAGTGCTACTCTGGTCACTATCATCACATCCTTCGTCATATTTATTACCATCACCCCAATTATTATAATCATCATCATACGATTTATGTCATTCTCATCACCATTGCCACCAATCACAATAATTTCAGTGTAATAACACCATTAATTTTCATCATCACCATAATGTTTATTAACATCATCAAGATCACTACCATGATTATTCATCACCATCTTCATCATTGTCATCACTACCACTGTGGTCACTGTCCTCATATCACATAATAATCATATTCATCAGTATCAATCTCACTGTGAAAATTAGCATTATTTTCATTATCATCACTATTCTCATGATAGCATTATGACTATCATTACTATCCTCCTCTTTGTTATCTTTATCACTACCACTACCATCACATTCATTAGTATCACAATCATATAATTATAATAATAATCACCACCATTTCCGTCATCATTATCTGCACCATGATCACCACCAGCAACATCACCACATGTTTATAGTATTTAACATAGATACCTTTTTATAATGGAGGAATTGAATTTTAAAAATTATTAAGATAAAATATGGCCAAATATATTAAGAAAAACATTGACACTGATAGAGAGTAGCATTGGGATTTGTATCTTTCAGATCCCAAGTTAAGTATACTCTCTTCTGTTGAACAAATTCAGGTTGTGACCCATTGTAATTGCTTTTTTTTCACCCAGGTACGAATGGAATATAAAAAGTGGTTTCATAAGATACAGAAAGGGGTAGAAATTGAAAGCACTGAGATGTCTCAATCTACTACCCACACCAAAATGGTAAGCTCATCTCCCCAGGAGAGCTTTATGTTACCCAATCCAGTTTCTCATGGAAGCATGAGTTTCATCTTTGTTCCTTGATAGAAAAAAAATTAAAAATCTGGCCTACAATATACAGCCATGGTTTCTAGATTTGGCACCTAAATTCCTTTCTTCATTCCTTATTTTCTTTTTGCCTTCCTCCCTTCACTACTTCCTTTCTGCATACCATCTTCGCTCTCTAACCCACTCACTTTTCTTCAATATCCCTTATTTGATTTTTCCTCCCTCTCCCCAAATTATCTCTTTTTCTGTTCACTATTATAAGTGGTTATATACTCACTTCAGAAGCCTTAAGTCAGAGTGCATTAGCTATAACCAATGGAAAAAATCTGTAAGATAGCACAAGATGCCTCAGCCTATGGTAAGATCAGGGATACCACTGAGTTATGTAGTGGAGTTAATAATTTAGAGATTTGTTACTCTTTGCCTTGCATATTTCCTTTGAGAAATGACACATAGTCCTCAGTTTCATTACTGAGGCCCAGACCACCCTCTGCTCTGTCCTTCACTTCCCATGAGAACATAGCCTTCCCATGTTCACATACCTCTCTATGCACTGCTTTCACATGTGACCATCTAATTCCCTGAAGCTGCAAGAGTTTGTCCATAGATTCCATGAATCAAGATTTTCATAGTATTATGATCCTCTGATAAATGCGATCCATAAAAAGAGGAACCTTCTCAGGGTGGTTCTGTTTCTAGCTTATTGATGTTCTGATGAGCCACAGAAGTGAGTTCTTATATTGTGCTAAACTTAGGTGTAGTCAGAGGCACACTCAGACCCATCCCTTTATCATATCTGAAGGCACTAAAAACTGTGAAATTTGTGGATGAGGAGTTTGTAGAGTCAGTATATTGTTTGCCTTGCAAACGTGAGGTTCAATTTCATTCCTGGCACTTACTCAAGAAAAAAAAGAGAGGCATGGTGGTATATGCTTGTAATCTCAGCACTGAGAATATAGAGATGAATGATCCCTTGAACTCCTTGAACAGCTGATTTCACATGAATAGATGAGTTCCTGACCAGGTAGTAACTCTGTTAAAAAATAAATGACACCTGATAAAATGACACTGGTAGCTGTCCTCTGCCCTCCATTTGTGTATATGCTCTTGTACACATTCACCTATACAAATACCTGAGTGCACACACATAAAATTGAAAATAACCATAGCTACTGCTGTGTAGTTATTTATCAGTTTTCACCATCATCTTTAGCTTGTCTTATGCTCGCACTCTTTATTCCCCATGAAGTTCACTTCCAAAGTACCAAAATGAACCTCCATGTATATAAGTATACAAATAACTCAAGGTGATAACTGATAAAATGATTCCTTGCCATTTCAGAGAATTATGATTAGACCGAGCAAATTAGTGGGCATCCACTGACTCTTAAATGCTGAGAGTCTTGCTATTGGGTACATATTTGATCGTGGTCATGGTGTGATGCTATGCCCATAGATGCTATGCTATGGATCTCTTAGTATTTAAGGGTATAGGGTTAGGGATATGGCTTAATGAGTAAATAAAACACTTGTCATGCACAAGTGGGACCTTAGTTTCACATGTCCAGTTTCCATGTAAAACTGATATTGTAAGTACATTTTTAATTTCATCACTACTCCAGCAAAATGGGAGGCACAGACAGGAGTATGTCCAGAAGTTCAGGAGCACTATCTATTAAGCACAGTAACAAACAAGGGATCCTGTCTCACACAAGGTAGGAGGCTACAACTGGCAGCTGAAGTCATCCACTAACCTCCATTTGAAAGACTGGCATGCATTCACCTGTTCTCACACACATGAACACATACATATACACACAAAAAAAACCTATAAAATATACACAAAAGACAAATGAGTATAATGGTTCTCTTTAAGGAGAAGTAAAATATACAGTATTAGCAAGTGACAATAAAAGCAAATGGGCGTGGTTTCATTCCTCTATTAAAGAGGGTCTGTACAAGGTGCCAAAATTCATTGAAAAGGATAGAGAGATCAGTCAGGTTAGGAAAACATGCAGTGTTCTGCAAGGAGGCTGTAGTTTCTCTGCTCTCCCCTTCCATGCCCTTTCCTTCTCTTATCCTGTTCCACTCCTTCCTTTCTTTTCCTTTCCTTTCCCTTCCCTTCCTTTTCTTTCCCTTCCCATTCTTTCCTTTCCTTTCTCCTTTCTTTTTCTTTCCTTTCACATCTGCTATTTAATATTCATTGTCAACTTACAAGTATTTAAAATCACCCCAAAAATGTACTTTTGGGTATTTTCTGTGTGGCTATTTAGGAGAAATGACCCTCTGAACTTGGGTGGCAACTTGTGATAGGATGGTGTTTTAAACTAAATAAAAATGGCGAAAGACAAATATTTGAAAGTGGACACTCTCTTTCCTCTGGTTCCTGATTTTCTTGGATGGGAGAATCAGCTTCGGATTTCCATTATGGGAAGTGGTCCTGCAACCCTTCCTGTTCAATTGTTTATAAAGATAACAGTCATTGTGAGATTTCTATTACACAGGCAGCATTTTAAAATCAAATCCTACATCTATTTACTGTTTCTCTTTCCACAGCTTTTTTTCTGTATTAATCATTAATTGGTATTCAACATTCAAATACACATTTTTTTATTTCTCTTGTGTTAATCTCTGTGTCTGTAGTATATTTCACCAAAACAAATGTCTTCAACCCCTATTCAGTCTTTCTTTTCTTAAAAAAAATCATTTATTTATTTCATGTAAATATCTGTATTTTGTCTGAATACTTAATGCACTCAAACGTCAGAAGAGGGCATCAGATCTCCTGGAACTAGAATTAGAGACAGTTATGAACCACTATGTTGTGCAAGACATTAAAATCAGGTTCTCTGAAGAGTGTCTATTGCTCTTAACTGCTGAACCATCTCTCTAGCCAATCCATCTTTTTTTTTTCTAAATAGGAGAGAATTTTTCGTGTGGCTCAATAATACTCCATGTGTATGCAAAGCATGTTTTCTTTACCTGACAGTAAACATTTCTGTAGATTTTATGTCTTAGTTATAATGGAATATTAAGTGTGCTCAGACAGGTATCTCTGTGATGTTTCAAAGATGAATGTGCTAAGAAAAAATATTTGTGCTCTTGAGGTTCCTGGGTTTCTTAGTTGGTTTTCTATTGCAATGATAAGATATGACCAAGGCAACTTATAGTAGAAAAAGTTTATTGGAAGTTTATAGTTTCAATGGGGAGTTCATGCACATCATGGCAATGAGAATAGACACAGTCAGACAGGCATAGCACTGGAAGATAGCTGAGAGATTACATCCTAATCCATAAGTACAAGACATAGAAAGAGTGAGATACTGGGGCTGGCATGTTCTTTTAAAACTCATAGCCCTCCTCCACAGACAAACCTTCTCCAAAAGAGCCACATCCCCTAATCCTTCCCAAATCCTTGATCTGGACCAAGAATTTACATATTTTAACCTGTGAGGGCTATTCTCACTCAAACCATCACACTGGGTTGCCCTGTCTGAACTTTGATCAACTCCTCATAAAACTGTCATTGAATAAAAATCAGAATGATATCCATAAGACCATTGTGTTCTATTGTAATCTACTGTTTGTGTTGTATTTCATTAATGTCAAATTTCAAGAACCAGCTTCATAAGAAGAATCAAAAAACTAGTCATAAATCTATATGTTTAGGTGTCATGTTCCAGTATAAAAGGTCCATATAGACTCTTATAATGCCAGTAAATTTTCTGTGGCCTCTAACAGACCTGATAATGTTATATTTAAATGACAAAAAATGCATAAGTTTAAATATCTACTTCCAGGATATGTGGCCTTGACAAGTCACATTTGATGTTTCTTGGATTCAGAGTCCCAGTCTGTATAACAAAGAAAATATTGATGTTTTCACAAAGAATAAATGGTTACATGCATGATAACACCAGGGAGGAAATGAAAGATTGTAGCAAGCTGATACTTTTATGGAAAGATGTAAAGTAAGATAAGTTTCACATATATGGGGGTGGCGAGGTATTCTACACTCAGGTACTCTAAGATTCAAACCTACCAAAAGTCTTAGCTTGTTACCATAGCGCCAACTAGAATTTTCCTTTCTAAAAAGTGAATTTCTGTTTTTCTCTAAATATCTATTCATTATAGGAGGAAGCATGAAAGTCAGCAGAACTGACTCAGTGAAAGCACTCACAACCTGAGTTCCTGTTTCTTAGCCAAAGACCATCCTCAACACCGTGTGGTCACATATGGACTAGGTTTATGTCACCATTTTTCTTTTTTTTTTTTTTTTATTCAAGTGAAATGTATTATCTATAAAATTACATGAAATGTGAAAATGAAAAGAAAAGCAGTTTCGTGTTTCAAAGGCAGTTGGGTCTGACATTCTCTAAGTGATCTCGAGAAGACAGAGGGTACGGAGACAGCAGAACAGAACCTTCCCTTTAAAGCAGCGTCTCCCAAAAGTGGAAGTCTGGTCCTTGAATTATTATTAAGACACAAGAGGTAAAATCCTGCAGCTTCTACATTCTTTTTTTTTCTTTCTTTATTTTTAGTTACATTTTGTTAACTCTGTGTCCCAGCTGTATCCCGCTCCCTCATTCCCTCCCCAACCCCAGACTCCCTCCCTGGTCTCCTCCCTGCCCCTTTCCAAGTCCACTGATAGGGGAGGACCTCCTCCCCTTTCATCTGACCCTGTTTTATCAGGTATCTTCAGGGCTGGCTGCAAAGTCCTCCTCTGTGGCCTAACAGACTGCTCCTCCCCTGGAGGGGGGGTCAAACAGCCTGCCCTTGAGATCCTGTTAGAAATAGTCCGTGTTCCCCTTACTTTGGAAAACTACTTGGTTATTGAGCTACCACAGGCCACATCCGAGCAGAAGTTCTAGGTTATATCCATAGACGGTCCTTGGTTGAGTGTCAGTCTCAGAAAAGACCCTGTGCCCAGATATATTTGGTCCTTGTAGAGCTCCTATCCTTTCCATAATCATACTAACTTCCCTTCTTTCATATGATTCCCTGCACTCTGCCGAGGGTTTGGTTATGAGTCTTAGTGTCTGCTTTGAAACACTGCTAGGTAGAGTCTTTCAGATGCCTTTTGTGGTAGACTCCTGTCATAAGTTCAATGCACATCCCATTTGTCTTTCTAAATGAGGATTAATCACCTTCGCCTGTGTCCACTTTCTTGATTATCTTCTTTAGGTGTGTAGATTTCATTATGTTTATCATATCTTGTAGGTCTATATAAGTGAGTATATACCAAGTTTGTCTTTCTCCTTCTGGGATACTTCACTCAGAATGATCTTTTCTAGATCCCACCACTTGCCTGCAAATTTCATGATTTCCTCCTTTTTGATTGCTGAGTAGTATTCCATTGTGTAAAAATACCACAATTTCTGTTGCTCTGCTTGTGGAGTTCCCGTTCCCTCCAGCTCTTACTATTTCCCACTTCTTACATAAAATTCCATTCACTCTGCCCATCAGTTGGCCATCAGGCTCAGCATCTGCTTTGACAGTCTATACTGCAAAAGCTTTCAGAGGCCCTCTGTGGCAGGTTTCAAGGTTGTTTCCTGTTTTCTTCTGGCTTTCAGAGGCCCTCTCTTGGGGAGTGGCATGCATGCAGAAAGGGGAGGGAGGGTGGGATCGGCAGGGAAGGAGGGAGGGGCTTATGGGGGGATACAAAATGAATAAAGTGTAATTAATAAAAAAAATAAAAGATTTAAAAAAAAAAAGCAGCCTAAAAATACCACAATTTCTGTATCCATTCCTTCGTTGATGGACATCTGGGTTGTTTCCAAGTTCTGGCTATTACAAATAAAGCTGCTACGAACATGGTTGAACAAATGTCCTTGTTGTGTACTTGAGCAAATTTTGGGTATATACCTAGGAGTGGTATAGCTGGGTCTTGAGGTAGCACTACTCCTAGTTGTCTATGTCACCATTTTTCTATGTGAATTGATAACATGATACTCTTTTGACTTTTTGAAAATGGCTTTGCTACAATTATTAATGTATAGTAACTGCACAGGTGAATGTATTTCACTGGAAAATTTCCATTATTACATACATACAGCTTTGATCATGTCTGCCCTCCCTGATTTATACTATATTTCTATTGCTATTTCTCACTTAATTACCATAACATGTTTTATTTGGGTTTCATCTATATTTCTTCAAGCAACAGGTTTTCATTTTTCTTCAAAGTAGAAAAATATTTCATGAGTTATATAAACTGTATTTTCTTTGTCCAATGAAAGACAATGAGGTTGACTCCACAACTTGGCTGTAGTGAATAGCACCTCAGTAAATATGACTGGGCTGGTATAGGACACACCTCTCTGAGAGAAACAGCTGTCATCTTCATAAGATCAACTATGACTACAAGCTTGTTGATTCTCACAGAGAAGAAATGAGGAGTGTCATTGTATCCTCACCTGAGATTCCTGCAATAATTCCAAAGGATTTATATGAAATTCTTCCCTAGTATTCTGGTCTCCAGAGATGCTAGAGGATATAGTCATCATGAAGGTTTATTGAGAGAGACTTATTGATGAAACTATAGGGATGTGACCATCCATGTTTAGTGAAGTATCTCCAGTCCCATTGATATGAGGTCAGCCACATGCTTGTAAAAAACCTTCATCTAATAAACCCATTGTATCCCATGGATGAGTTGGGTGAAATCTTATTTCACTTTGTCACTGGTATTTGTGAGGAGGGGTTAGACTGTTATGTCTCCCAAGATAAAGAATTTTCTTGAGGTATGATAAGGCAACCACACGTTAAGCTAGTGGAGACTCTATGACTTCACAGTAACTGTGTGAATGTACATCACCATTAACCCTGTTAATTGTGCATTTTCGCTGTAACTTTGTCAGCATCTTGTGTTAGCAGTCCTTACTGGAAAGAATGGAATTTCATATCCAGTTTTCGTTATCTTAAAGGCTAGGTGTATCAAGAACTCTTCATATTCCATTCCATCACCTGAGAGCTGACTGTTCACATAACCAGTTTTTCCTTCTTGAATTGCTTTTAATCTTGTGTTTATTTTTTAATTTCTTTATGTGTCCAGGACATTAAAATCCTCCAATGTCAGTTACTTCTCTGTGGCTGCACTGAAACCCCATGGCAAAAAGCAAGATATGGAAGAAAAATTTTATTTTAAAGGTCCCAAGGTAGCACATAGAGTTGTTGTGTCACAGGAATGTGACTCAGAGTGTGAGGATGGCGTGGCAGACAGAAGGCGGCATCAGCACATGCTATCTACACACAAAATTGAGTCCATGCTGCAAATATGCTGAGGACTTTGGCTAAGAAAGTGAAAACAAAACATGTAAACACAATTCCAAATGTGCTTTGCTACAGGATTTAGGTGGCTATGTTGGGTTCTTTAATGAAGAATAAGAAGCAGAGGAAAGGGCATGAGAGGGGTGAGTATGATGTAGCTGAGAATAGTTTTTGACCTTCACAATGGACGAGTCTACATGCTTTAGAAAGCCTGAAGAAATAAGGACTGTGAGCACAGAAAAGCACAAGGCCATATAGGCCAGAGCCATCCTGAAGGAGTTTTCATAAGCTAGAAATAACATACCTCTTTCAAGACAGCAGATTTGTTCTGTGTTTGCATAATGATCATCAGGTACTTCACACATTCTCCCATATTAAGGAAGAAATACAATATGCTATCAATTTTATTTCAGTAAATTTATCATAATTGGGGAGGGTTTGAGAAAATGATGTCTTTTGGCCTTTGAGTTAAATAGCAAATGCAGTTGTTTTAATAATAAAGTTACTCAGTATATTGTTACAGATTGTATTTCTTTAATCCATATGGTAACATTCAACTATGATTTCTTGTGACAGGGTGTTTCCTTCTTATTTTATTTTTATGAGTGTTTTGTCTGTATGTATGTATGTACAGCACATGCATGCAGAAGAGAGGGTGAGAACCCCTGTGTCTGAACATAATGTATGTGGTTAGCTATTTTATGAGTTCTGGGAATCGAGCCCAAAATTCTCTGGAAGAGCAGTCAGTGCTCTAAACAACTGGCCACTCTCTGCAGCTTCATGAAGTAGTTTTACAGTTAGTATTTACTTGGGAATTTATAAACATGATGGAAATATCCAAATGCTATGGCACAAAATTAACTCTAAAGTATCTTTATCATATGAAAATTTTGGTAGATCTATGCAGATAAAATATATTTGTGCCGAATATGATTTTAGTTCATATATCTTTTGGTTGATATTAATGGTGATTTGTGAATTCTAGAACTGTTACATTTATTGGTTTATTTCTTTCTGTGTGTGAAGGAGCATATACACTGACAAGCCACAGTATGTGTGTGGCCATCAGAGGACAACTTGCAGTTAGCTGGTTCTCTGGTCCACCACATGAATCCAAAAGTGGAACTCAGATACCTGACAACAAGTGCCTTTACCCACAGAACCATATAAACAGCCCTTATTTTAAAATTCTACAAGAAACTTCAAATTTTTCTCTTCTCTCTTCTGACTTTTGGTTTATTAAATTTTGTAATATTATTCCACCTCTATTTTCTTTCTTAACACATTTCTACTACTCTACATGGAGAGACACACTGAATATTATGATGTAGAATTTTACTCTTGTATATTCAAATATACTTAATAAATAATAAAGTTAAATTATTTGAAATTGAAAACTATTCCTGTGTAAGAATAACTTGAGCAGCCCCCAAAAGATTTAATAATTTGTATTTTCAATTTACTTTTATTATCCATCTTCCTAGGACCTATATATTTCTTAGAAATATGTTCTAAAACTTCAGCCACATAAATTCAACTTTCAAGTAACTATGTTACAAATGCACATGATATATACACAGGAGCCTCACATGTACATAACATACACATATCCAAATACTTTATTAAAACACAACTTGGGCTAGTCCCTTAGTTTGGGTTTTATTGCTGTGAAAAGACACTATGACCATGGCAAATCTTATAAGAAAAACATTCAATTGAGTTTGCAGATTTAGAGATTTGGTGCGTTACTATGTTTAGAGGAAAGCAGTATGCAAGTAAACATAGAAATCATGATATTTTTAGGCAGTTGGTGGGAAGAAGAAAAGATCATCCTGAGTAAGGTATCCCAGAAACAGAATGACACATATGGTGTATACTCACTTACAAGTGGATGCTTGACATATAATATAGGATAAACCTACAAAAATCTGTACACCTAAAGAAGGTGAGCTAGAAGGAGAACCCTGGGTTAGATGATCAATCCTCACTCAGAAAGGCAAATGGGACAAACACCAGAAGAAGAATGAAATAGGACAGAAGACTACCATGGAGGGCTTCTGAAAGAC